ATTACGACCCGTCGAGAAACCAGAGCTAAGACAGATACATCGAATGCAAGAGAGGGCCGGAAATTGCATTGCCACTGCCGCCCTCCCGTCATAGTTTCACCGGATGCTACACCGTCTGTTGTCACGATGATTCTGCATGGGCAGACGACGATATTTGAGAAGTGATGAAGAAGCCAGATCCCCAGAGCCAAACACACAGCGAATCCAGCAGCACAGATCCTGCGGTGCTGAGCAGGTGCCTGGGTGCTTTGTTTCGCTCCATCGCCATGTGTGTCTCTGAACAGAGAGCTGCTTGGACTGCGTGAAGTTCTTCGTGCAGTCTTGACCGGGGCCACGGATCGCGGGCCGACGGGCGGTTGGCTGTGGGCCTGTAGAATGTTTATGCTAGTGTTTTTGTAGTAATAGTAGTAGGCAGCAGCAGCGACAGTGGCACAAGTAGCAGCAGTACTAGCACTTCGAGTAGTTAGTTGTCTCAGGGTTGATATCGACAAAGGAAGATGCAATGGTAGTGGAAGAACTATAGCGCACGTCTGGATAGATACGAGAGTTCCATTGCGGTGACCCCATGGAGGCGCGCAGTACAAGCGAAGAGGCCAGAAACCAACAGAGCTAAGCCACAAACCCGGAGCAGCCGAAAAGCCAGAAGCCACAAAGCCAAGGGCCGAAAGACAAAACACGGCTTAGAAGCCAGAAGCTCTCAAAATAGCTGTTACTTTCCAACTTCTATCATTCTTTAATTTGTTGTTCACCTTTTAATTGATCTCCCAGTTTTAATGGCATCCCCTTACTGCAGAACGCTTTCAAAAAGCCTTACAACCAGCTGCACAACATGTTCAAGCCCCAAGAAGCAGCCTTTAATTTCTGAAGGACTAGGCAGAACCAACTCCATCAGCTCTATTCAACACCCCTAATGCCACCTCGCAAACCCACTACACTCCCCTACAGCAGCCACTAACAGTCACTAACACACAGTATTCGCAGCCTTACAAGTCTCGTTCTGGTTCCTGTTGCTGTCGTCGTCGGGTACTGGTGAAAGTGGTGATGGTGGCGATGCATGATGGTCGTGGTGCTAGTGGCGGTTGCGGTGGCGGTGGCGGTGTTGGTGGTGGCTGCTGCTGCTGCTACTGTTGCTGTTTTGTGTTTCTTCTGTTGTGGTTGTGGCCCTGGCAGTGGCAGGTGTTGTTTGTGTTTCTTGTTGTTGTGGTTGTGGTTGTTGTGGTTGTGGTTGTCGTGGTTGTTGTAGTTGTGGTAGTTGTGCTGCTGCTGCTGTTGTAGTTATTGCTAGTAGCCTTGCCTTAGTCCTTGTCCTTGTCCTCGTCGTCGTTTTATGCATTGACCCGGGAAAGTGGATCCCGGTTTCGTCCGCCCTCTGAAGCCGAAATTACGAAGCTTATGACGATGAAATTGTTCGCCAGGAGTTGAAGCTCTAGTTGCGCGTGAAGACGAAACTCGGCCCTGAAAACGAAATACCGGTAAAGACGAAACTCGGTTTGGTGCACATTGAAGACGCAATTCGGTCGTGAAGACCATATTCGTCCCGCAAACGAAATTTAGCCTGAAGACGAAATTCGTCGCCACTACAGACCCATCGCACATGTCTCTAGGCTCCGACATGCTGTCCCAAAACATGAAACGACCTTCGGCCCTGAAGACGAAATTCGGCCCTGAAGACGAAATTCAGCCCTGAAGACGAAATTCGACCCTGAAGACCAAATCCGGCCCTGAAGACGAAATTTACACCCTGAACACGAACTTCGGCCCTGAACACGAAACTCGGCCTGAAGACGAAATTCGGCCGCGAAGACGACATTCGAGGTAATATAGGAATGCCGATCTTAAAATCAAAAGAACTCCATCCAAGGCTCCATACTCTGAGTTCAGGGTGATATAGGAGTTCTGCATGATGTTAACATCAGGGGCGCCCCATCCGTCTCAGGTTGCATCCTCTATGTTCAGGGCGATGTAGGAGGTCTGAATAGTTGTGACTTTTAAGTCAGCGGAACCCCATCAGTCCAAAGCTCCATCCTCTGAGTTCAGGGGCGGCCCATCACTCCCAGGCTCAGGCTCCATCTTGTGAGATCAGGGCGACAAAAGAGTTCTGATTTTAACATCAGGGGCGCCCCCATCAGTGCAAGGCTCTATCCTCTCTTTCAGGGTCATAGGAGCTCTGATTTGAAAATCAGGCTTTTCAATCAGGGGCGCCCCGTCACTCCTGGGCTCCATCCTCTGAGTTTAGGGTGATTTAGCAGTTCTTATTTTAGCATCAGGTGGCGGTGGCGGTGTCGTTGTCGTCGTTGGCGTTTTGGTTGTCGATGTTGTCGTTGTCGTCGTCGTCGTTGTTGTCGTGGTGGTGGTGGTCGTGGTTGCGGTCGCGGTGTGGTGGTGGGTGGCGGTGATGGTGGTGGTGGTGGTGGTGGTGGTGGTGGTGGTGGTGGTGGTGTCGGTGCTGTTGGTGGTGGCGGTGGTGGTCGTCGCTCATTTCTTTGCCATCGGTCACTCTGCTGTGCTGTAAATGGACATCAAAGCGAATAGACAATCACGACAGGTTTCTGCAGAGTTTCGACCTGTTCTCGAAAAGGCGACTGGGAATCAAAGCCGAAGCATTATATTTCCGAACACCGGTGGTCCATTGGACTTGAACGGGATACACTGGTTAGGGTATGGCGTTGCATGATGCTGCAACGGTCTGAATTTCAGCCCCACGAATCGTGAACTCCATAACTCGAACTTGCTGCGAGGCTCAGTGCTCGCATCGGGCGCATGGGGGTACAGGGGCGCTGAATGACAATGGCTTAGAGGCTTAGAAGAACACTATCGTGTGGTGTCCCAAGACGGGCCAGCCTGAGCGCATCGATTCTGGTTGTCAGATTTCCGATGCTGTGGTCGGGCCTTGCTAACTCGCGCAGCACTCATGCCAATAGGACGAGTATGCACGTAAGGCAGAAGGCAGAAGACCCTTAAGCAGGATTGAAGCCTCAGTGGTGTGCACTCTTGATAAGCTCGCGCCGAGCTCAAAGAAATCAATGTTGCCAGTCCTCACCGCGGCTTGAGGACAATGGCTTCGGCCAGAACACGCCCGTCTCAAGAAGAAAGTAGACAAGTCGAGGCCCACAAGTACAAGAACTGAGGAAACACGGCTTCGATAAAGCTAACCTAGTGCAGTGCAAAGCTACTATACTTGGAAGGGAGGCCGGCGTTGACATGCTTTGTGGCCTGGCAGGCAGGAGCCTTAAACGGGCCCGGGGGCTGAAGGTGCTACAGTTACGAGCCTTCAGCTTGGACCTCACAAATGGTAGCGGGAATTGAAACGTCTGAGAGCACGGGGCTGATGCTGAGGATAAGGCGCGCTGCCGACCGCAAGCTTCGGCTTGTCAGCAGCACTCACAGCCAACTGCTGAATGCGAACGGTCCACTGTTCCTGGCGGACACATGCAAATGGCACTAATTCAGTGGCTGTCTGTCATGGATCATGGATCCGAACCTTGACCTTCTGCCGGCAGCGTCCTGAAGTAAGGTCCCATTCGTAAATGTTGCACCTGCAGAATTTGTCGCAATGTGCCGCTTGAAGAGACCTGCTTGCCACCACACAAGCACAACTCTTCCTGAGAACAAGTCTCTTCGTCTGCCGAATATAGGCAGGCCTGGCTGCGAAGCAAGATGATATGGATCACATACGAGACGACGCAACTACAACATCTGTCGGCCAGATTCAGCCTGATGGGGTGCGAACACGAGTGCGATCCCAGAGGAGCTCATCCGGAAGGTCCTGCATGGAACAGAGCTGTGCATACGTGTCGTATCTGTCGCAAATCGTGTTATGTCCGCACGGAGGTTTGCCCCGCCCTGTTGCTTCTCTCTTCTGAAGACGCGAAGAAAAAGTGTGAATTCGCGAGGTTCCCGTTTCCACAAACGAGCGTTTCACAACATGGCCTTGAAGGCCTTGGACCGGTGAGCAGGCTCAATTTCATGAATTGGCGACACGTAAAAAACCAGCGGAGTAGCGGAGGCCTCGAGCCGCAGGAAATACCGACTGGCGCGGTGCCGACACGGCGGGACAATGTTCTTCAACAAAAAGTGAACATAAACTAAAGGAGACAGCGCCAACAAATTTTCAAATCGTTGAATTGCACTTGTGCAGCGGTATGTTGCCGCAACAGCAAACTGCGCTGAGTCCTGATTGTGTGCTTTGTCTTGATGTCACAAAGGCTTATGGCTCCAGCGTCACCGAGGAACCCATACCTCGGTGAATGGGCTCTGTCTTTGCCTGGACCGATGCACCAAATCTTGACAGCATTGAGGCACACACATTTGTGAAGACTTCTCGTTTGTCGATGCCGGGCCTGCTCGAAACCGATGCCGATGCAGCCGGTGCACGAGCAAGCCACACAGGTTCCGGGCACGTGACCCATTGCCAAGCAACGCGGAGCACTGCGGTGGGGACTACCTTTGAAGGCTGTGCTGACGGGGAACTGCTCTAAGACCTGCTTCTGCGACAAGTGACCCTGTGAAATGTCGCCACATGTATCGATTGCCAAGCTCGAGAGAAGAGCCATGCACATGGATCCCATTTCAAAGCTTTCGGCTTCCAGCGTTCCATTTGTCGATCTTCTAGCGATTCAAGCCGTCAGTCGTCGCAGAGTTCGCAAAGACTTTCACTAACAGCGGTGCAATCTGTCGCAATGATTCTTCGGAAAGCCAGGTCTAACATGTCTAACTCATTTTTACAATCCGTCATGAGGAAAGATGAGCGAAAACATGTAGCAAACCGTAGCCAGCCAAACCTGCGGCTCAGCTAAAAACGAAGTGATGAAGTGCCACCACAGCGAAGTGCATTTCTGAAGTGTGCCGTGTGCTCGCAGGAGACGCAACGCTGCAAGGGGCCAATCTTACTCTTGGCTTCTTCACAATGCTTCGCAGCGCATGTTCCCTTATAAAGCTTTAAATGCACTTGCAGATTGGGCGAGTGGTAAGATAGCGGATTACCCACGTAAGCTGCCCACGCATTTCGAAAGGCTCCCCGCTGCTGACATCCAGACCTCGCCACAAATGTGGAGGAGTTGGGCATTGTTCCCGTTGCCCTGCAGATGGGAGAGCGGCCCCAGATTTGACTGGAGGAGCTGGTCATCAGAACCTGCGCGGCCGCTACGATTCCAAAGCGTCATCTGAACCGCCCATCCCAAAATCCTCCCACCGAGAGCCTGATCTCCTGCCGGGGTGAACTTCGCATCAAGGATGGGGTAGTTCTTGAAGTAGTACGATGCCACCTTCTCAGGACTGAACAACAAGCAACCAACAAAAACAAACAATTCATCTCAACGCAGCTGCCTTGGGATTCTCCTCCCCATCGACGGCAAAGAGCCGCAACCTTGAAATGTTTGGAGGCAAATAACACTCAACATCCCAACAAGGCACTCTTTGCACGAATGCGTTCCACAGGTAGACGTTACAGTGACTGCGAGCTGCAGCTTCCTTGAGAATCCCGGTAAGCTTTTCAATGCTTTGAAGCAGAAAAAAGTCGCCAAACGCACCGCAGCGGATCTTGGGACGACGAGCATGTGATTCCGGCTGGTTTGTTCGACTTTCCCGGGAAGCGGCACTCGGGATCTCCGATATGGAGACAAATTCCTTCATCATCCTCAACTTACAAGCTCGTAAGATATCCTATCCAACTGGCAACCTTCGTTGTTCGCTTCTGTTGGCAACGCTGACCTTTGGGAGCTTGTTATCGAATTGATGAGAGACCGTATGAATCATACGGTATGTTGCTTCAAAGTGAAAGCCGATATATCGGGTACATCATACTGCAGCAATGCACAGATCTCAACAGCAAAGCTGATTTGCTTGCTGATCTGCATGGTAAGCGACTCGATCTGCTTTTGTTTGAGATCCGCGATGCGGTTGATTTACAAACTCATTTGGTCTTCACTTTGTGGCGCCGCCATAAATGTACCAACCATCCATTTCAAGCGATGTAATGCCCCATGGGTTTCAATCCAGCTGCGCATTGAGGGTTTGTATTGCACAAACATCCCCTAAATGGCAACCTATCGGTGTTTTCAACCCCTCTTCATGTTTAGAGTATGTGCAAAGGGGCCGTCAGGTTCCAAGGGTGTTGCAGGACCAGGTTTGTCAAACATATCCTCGATACGCTGCATTTGGGGCAGACTCACATGTATGTTCCTTTTCATCGTGACATCCTGCTGGAAAACATCAATTGGGGATCTACGCCCAAAACATTCCCGGCGATGACGGCCATCATTGACTTCAGTAGGGATGGGGAATGGTATGTACCCATTGTTGATGATGATAGCAGGATGTCGTGGATTGAATTAGTAACGGATTTTGCGACCAAGCACTGTTTTATTGGGGGATTCTTGACTCCGGGAATGCCAATGTCGCGACTTACCCGTAACATGAAAACATACGTCACCAAGGCTATGCAATCCTGCGGCGTAGACCTTGTTCCGGTCTCCAAATTTTGGGGGCTCCTTATCAGAATTACAGTATATTATACCTACATGAAGGTTCCTTGAAGGTTGGTATCTTAAGTCTTAAGGGCTTGGGGTCCAAGCTTGAAGCTACAGACCCCGTAACGTTGGAGCCTCGTTCTTCAAATCCGACTGATTTTCCATGTCAGCCCACGGACTCAGACACGCTCGCCCATCATCTAGGCTTCTGTCTTGATTCAGTCATGCTTTAGGATTGCCCCAGGTTGTTCAGGAGTTTAGTCGAAGTGGAGCCAAGCGCCAAGGAACCGCAAGGATCACGAAGGTCTAGGGTTTAGGGGGAGGTCCTGGTGGTCGCAGGTTCGTATCTGGTTTAGGCGGGGTTTGTTGGGCGGAAACGGACGCATCGGCCCGAACTTTTATGGGCTCTATTTCTCACGGACTGGTCTAGATACGTCTTGAATGGTTCCAGGCAAGCGAATGCCCACTGGGTCCCTAACTTTAGCACCCTTTTCCCATGAGTTTTCTACAATGGCAGTCTGCATGCATTGCTCAGCTTAGTTCAGTAACAGCTCTGGCTCTGACGTTCGTGAGGCCGAAGAGCGAGTGCTGGTAAGAAAAAGTAAGATATCCTAACCCGCAGTCGTATGCAGATTATGCAGTGGACGAAAAACTTTCTGGCATCTTCAGGCTTCAAGCTTGGAGGAACAACCGACAAGTTCAAGATCCCCTCTGCGGCAGACCTTAACGGCCTTAACGCCAATCATGGGTCCGGTTGTTATCGGAGCGTGTTGGAAGTTGCATGGAAGTTTTCGGCCAGAGCGGATCATGATGGGCCCAATGATGGGTGGCCTTGAGGTTCACCACGCGTGATCTGCGCAAGCTATGCCGAGAAACACTCTTGGAGATCGAGAATCAACACTGTCATTCTCCCGGTGTAGCGGGGAGGGGGGTGGTCGGGAATAAGCCCAGGCCTATTTCCCAGCATCCGTGGTTGAGCGGGGGAGTCAGGGACTGCCACTGCGGCATGCGCCGGGTAGTTATTAACTAAGATGAGTCTAAGATGAGGGTTTACGGGCGAGGTTATGGGTTTAGGGTTCCCAAGGCGCGAACCGAAACCACTAAACTAGGGCGTGAACCGAAACCTATCGCCAACACAATCAGGATTGAGCCCCTCTGAGTCTTGGAGCTTCGAAAATAAATTCTTATAGGGCTATACTGCCAATGCTGCCAAAAATACTACTGCCAGTGATTGGAAAGCTCACGAAGCACACTTACGACCTACGACCAAAGAAGTCAGTCCCCGTAAATCGCAAAATTGTAACTCGCCTCGGCCGCGGCCGAAGCGTCAGAGATTCCCACAAGGATCCCCCCTCCCCCCCACACCGCCCTTACCCCGCCGAATAAAAATTTGGAACGTATGACAGCTACTGGAGTTGCGATCACGGAAGATGTAGCGCTGTAATTGATCTGAACCCAAGGCGCCTGCGGGGCCTACGGTCGTGTTAAACGTTTGACGTGTGACAACCATGCAAGCATTGATGCTACGTTCTATACAGCAGCACTTCATGAGTGCACTACGAAGACCTCGACCTCAACACGGCAGCCTGTGTGGGGCTTCTAAAAACAGGGTACTTTCACACCCGTCTTATTTCCGTGTGACGGCATGAGTGTGAAACCATAACAAACAAACGTCAGCTGTGAGTTGCCAGCGTGGCTGTGCGAAGTTGCGCAGTGACTTCAGAATGCATCTCGAATGAGGCTGTTGCCTCACTGCTCTCTTGCTGCACCTCCGAACTATGTCGGGGTTGTGCGGTTGTGGTAGCTGCGGTAAGCGACTCGTGTGTCGATGCATCCAGCACATGATCGAAGACAGCAACCATGTTGGTACGAATTGCCTCGTTGACTACGTGACGCTTCGTCGACTTCGCAAGCCAGTTCGCCGACTGAAGATGAGTGGCTATCCATCGTAGGATGTCGCCGTAGGGGTGAAAAAGTTGATGGCTTGGTGTGTGGTCCTCCCACACGACGTGGCGAAGCCCAACCATCCATATAAACAACCGCTTGTCTTCAACCTGCTTGGGTACAGGAGACAATAGGTGGTCTGTAAGTGACCTACAGTCGCTATATTCGACATGGAGTTTGTTACGCCTGGCGACATCTTCCCGCTGTCCGGTGACTGGTAGTTTTCCTTGTATCTCACGGACACTTGCGCGGAGACGATCTCCATGCTACGTTGCATGTTGGAGTGAGTAAGCCTCGCATTGTAGAGTTGCCCTACATACTCGTTTCATAGTTGACGAACCATACGAGATGAGGTGCACCTCATGGGTGTTGTTTGTGCGCCCCAAGTGGAGTCGTCCACGTCGGGATTTATGCCCAACTTCACCAGCAAATGAGGCATCGCAGAACGTGACTATTGCGAGTTCTTCCATTGATCGCGCTTTAAACACGATGCTCGACGATGCTAGTTTCAGCATCGTTCCATGCCAATGTGTGCGCGGTTCGCGTCTCGGAGTGTCTCGATAGTAGAATTTGTGACTTGCTGTTGAAAGGCACTCACTCTCCTCTAGAGGTTAAGTCAGAGCACGTAGCACCAGCTACCCACGCACAAGTGATCTCAGCGCGGTGCGCTGGCGAGCTGTAGCGGTGTGGGCGGTTTCTCACCCTTAGGTACAGCTATTGGTCGGACAGCGCGGGTGTTGTCTCTGCAGTTGATCTCGATTGTCCCGTCTGGAAACGGAATTTGTCCTGTGCTATCCGCCCAATCTTGAATCGGTCGAGTAGTCATCGGATGGCGTGCTCCGCGCTCACCATCGCCACGGGCGGCCCAGAACTACAGCCTGCCTCCTGAATCTCCGGGTCAGGTACCCTTTCCAAATGTTTCGGCACTCGTAGAGTGAGTAAGCGTTCTAGGGCATTGTTTGGAAGTAGGCGTTGGTAATGTCGGCCGCTCGCGCACACAGGCCTAACGATACCGCCCAACTACAAATGAGGGCTATCCCCTCCTGCTGAGCCGTCGGAGAATCGGCGCGGATATCCTCACCGCCGATGATTTCAAAATTCCCACAAGCCACGAGTCTGGCTTTCCATTTCGGAGTATACTCTGGCGTGCCTTTCAAGTGCTCATTCTTGTCGGTAAACGCCCACTTGGTGGGTGTGCACATGTGCCCCCTCGTACCAGTTCCTTCACCTCCTTGTCGGTGCCAGGGACAACTGCGTGAATTCGATGTATTTCTGGCACTCTGTTTCCATCGCCTTATCCAACCGAGTTGAACGTGGACTGGGGCTATGTGGTGGTCGATCAGCGAGGCTAAATGCACTGTCTCGCCCTCCTGAAAGTGTTTCATCAGGGCTTGTCTCCCATATTGTCGTCTCCGCGGGTGCGTTGGGCACGGACATCTCGACGGCCTTTGCGCATGTATAGCATTGCCCGGTGTAAAGTGTTACAGTATCCGTGGGATGCTTTTCCAAACAACCGTCTACTCGGACATGTTCTACCCTTCCGCTGTGAGTTTCAACAGTGTAGCTTGCTTGCTATTCCTATCCTACGGCAACGGTACATGTCCGGCTGGCTTCTGGGAATAACACCACCATCCGATGTGTCTCGTCCTCTGCATCCGAAACAATCATTTTGATCGTGGACAGGGTCTCTGGCGCGGCAGGCTCGCTTGGCAAA